AATGAAAACGGCAAACAACTTGTTTTACGAAAGTGCCAGTAAAACCACCTTCAACCAACCAATCATCGCATTAGATGAAGTAACTTTAAACAACGCACCCAACCGTTATTCAAGTTACTTTAGACATTATTTAAGCCTGAGAAATTTTTAAACAATGAATTTAACCCTGGAATTGCCAAAAAAGGTGCAAAGCACAATAGTATGATAGGAACCACTTTCACTCGATAATACCCCAAATCATATCGCGAAATCACGTTTTACCTGAAATACCCGTGTGTAACGTAACCCGCTGGTCCAAATACCACCGGTTAAACGGTATTACCCACTGAGGTATAGCGGCGTTTCCAGTCCATGGTACGTACACCTATGCCATGGTCATCACTCAAGCTATGGAAGGGGTTGGCGATGGAGGTAGTCGCCGCCGAAAGTACATGGGGCTGGTATCGGCGCTGGTGTTGTTTGTCGTGGTGATCGTGGTGTGCTTGAACTCGTCGATGGTGTCTAGTATGCAGCAAGCCACTACCGCCCAATGGTCACTTGCAGCTTTGACCACTTCCAACTCCACCGACCTGCAACCCAACAGCAGCGGCCTCTCAGCCAATCACCTCGCGGTCAATCGTGCAGACTTCCCTGCTGCGCCAACTGCGCCTCGTCGCCTTGCGTACATGTTGTACGCCACCGACGCGCGCACCGTGTGCAATGCTCTGATCATGGCGCGCAACATCCGAGCGACAGGGACGCCCAGGTCCATCCCGATCGTCACGCTGGTCGCCAGCGACGTGGCTCCAGACATTGCTAAGCAACTCGTGGACCCATTCAACAACTTTGTCGTCGAGGTGGTAGCACCGTGGCAGCAATCACGGGTGCATTTGAGCCACGAGTACGCGAGCTCGTTGACCAAGCTGCGTATCTTTGAAGAGCGCGGCGGCTTCGACAAGGTCATCTACCTCGACTCGGATGCGTGGGTCCAGCGCAACTTGGACCATTTGTTTCATCTGGGGAACGCCGTCTTGTGGGCTCCACATGCGTACTACATCCGAGAAAGCTACGTGTTTGGGTCGACGTTGCTCGTGTTTTCGCCGTCCAACGACGTCGTGGCGGCCCTTGCAGCTGCACTGGAGACCCCCCCGCGGCCCAATTACTTTGACATGGACGTGCTCAACGATTTGTTTCGGCTCGACTGCGGCTACCTCCCGAACCACTACGTCGTGCTCTCGTACACCCTGAATGACAACTATACGTGGTCGTTCAAGACGAAAGCAGATCGGATGGCTAGCACCTATGTGTATCACTATTCGCCATGGCTGGGGGTCGGTAAGCCCTGGCAAACGCCTAGATCCATCCTAAACGACAAGGACCAAGCGTACGAACCTCTGTATTATGACCTGTATGCCCGGTATTGGCAACAAGAGGACACGCTGTGCGCATCGTGGCTAAAGTAACGTTACCTCTGAATAATTCGACTAACTTTTAAAATCAACGATATACAGTTCTACCTACTGTAGTAGGGGCTGGTAAGGTACTGTAGAAAGGAAAGAGGAATGATGATCAATTTTCACTGTACTCATCGATTAGTCTTGATAATTCTTAACTGTTCCGCGGATGACACTACAGTATCTGTAGATAGAGGTTTTGGTACACTTGCTTGGTACAGTAGAATCATACAAAAACTGTATAATCGAATATAATTTGTACTCCGGAGTACTAACCTTACGTAAAAACTGGTTGGTACTGGGACATACGACCAATATAAGTGGATCAGAGGTTAATCGAGTTTGGATTATCATTTTTAAGACATCAGAGGTACACTGTAGTAATGAGCATGAAGTGTTGGTTCGAACGCAACCTTGTGCTCACATCAATAATGATTGGTTGTTTTATGAACTTCAACCACCAATCCAATTTGCTAGATTGGACTTTTGACAACTTGATTGGTGAAATTTACATTTTATAAAACCAATCAGAATTGATCTGAGCAAGTCATCCCACTGTGTTCGGTTTCATGCTGCTGTACAGTTATTCACAGTTCCACTGTTGCTTACGTGATCATGTCACTTGTTTTTAGTATGTCATAGTCAAATGCAGTGTAAGCCAAAACAACACATTCCAGCTAGGGGTGAAGTAAATTTCAGTGGTTAGCGATAGCTAACCACTTGTAATGCAAACTTACAGTTAACCCTGGGAATAGCAACACAAGGGTCCGGGCGTTCTGAGGTTACAGGTCTACTGGTTCATTTGAAGGAGAATGATTACGTAAGCCATAGTGGAACTGTTGCTCTCAGGGAATTATTCGTATTGATAAGATCAGAGCCCACTCACCTGGCAACCACCTGACGCGATGTTTGCAGCCCCAGGTCACCGCCGGAAGGGAGTGGCATGCTTGGCTGTGGCGGTATTGGTCCTTCTGTGCTTCAACACGATGACGTTGGAGTGGATAGTCATGCACAAGGACATGGCGTTCTTCGCCAGCAACCACGGACCCAAGCCCACTACAGCTTCCACGGTCGAGAACGAGTCGAACCCAATCGTGCATGTTACTGGCATCGCGCTCCTTCAGTCTACCTCGTCAACTGAAATGCCGACAACGACCCCATCACCTCCCACCACGTCGGCACCAGTTGCACCAACTCCCACGTCCACCACAGTGTTGCCAACCCCCGCCAAGTCCACGCCATCTCCACCGACAACACTACCATCGTCGCAACCGACGACGTCGGCAGCACCACCTCGTGCGACCCCTTCGAACCTCCCATTGACCACTCCTCCACTTGAAACGATTGGATTCGAGACAGTTGCCATCGTCACCTACGTGCCAGACAAGCACGTCAAGTTCATCAACCAAACCCAGCACATGTTGTGGTCGTCCTGGAACTACTCCATCCACCACGTGGACCCAAGGGCCCGAGGTCGGACCGACTTGATCATCTTTGCCCATCGGAACGTGATGGAGGAGATGCCGCCGTCGTGCATTCGCTTGGCTCACCCGGCCCTACCGCCGGTTCCGTCCTCCAACAGGGACCGATGCTTCGTCGTGGAGCAGACCCCCGCCGCAGACAACTACTGGCATCGGTATGGCTTTATGTTTAGCCTGATATACCTGGCCGAGCCAACGTTTCAACCACTGCTTATGTCGTACGACCGACTACTGCGCACCGACACGGACGTGGTGATTACGCCGGCGTTCCTGACGTTCCGACCTCGGCGATTTGTGGTTGGACGAGGGGGGTACATGTACCACGACTACACCAAAGCCCGCATCAAGGAGCTGGCGGTGGACATCAACATGACCCACCAAGGACTCCACAGCGTCGGGTCGACCTGGTTTGGCAACGCCACGGTGGGTTTCACGTCAAATTATTGCTAGCAACGTTTCTAACCCACTGCTGCGACTGTGTTACTACTGTAGCTCACGCTTCAAATGGTGCCCAAGATGCTCGAAGTGGCCAAGTTCATTTTGGACAGTCCCAAGTACAACGTCGAACAAGGGTTTCCAAGGTGGCATATTGGCGTGACCTCCATGTACGCTGGGGAATTGGTCGTGAATCACTTTATACCCAAGGACAACGTGTGGGTCAACTCGGCCAGCCTCGACGTGTACAGCAACGGCATTGAAAAGACAATCAACGTGTATCATAGCCACTGCTGGCCAGGTACTTTTGACTTATATGACGTTGTATGTGCTTGAGTGTTCATACTGTGGGTATTCTTGTGGTGCAGGGAGTTCCGGGTTCTTCACCAAGTCAGAGTACGAAGATGGCGAGTACTCTGTGGACAAGTTTCCACGCGAGTCGTTGGACATTGCAGTCATCAAAGACTACTTTATGGCGATGGTCTTGTATGGCTATTAAGTGTATTCTTACTTATACACGCATATCGACTACTTGTGAAAGACAACTACCTTACTTAGTACCCAATTTTGTGGGCGGAAGCTCTGTCGTCGCTCGCTACTGGTATGTACTCTGCGATGATTTAATATTATTGCCCTATTGACCACCGATCAATAATGGCATGAGAGAAATGACTTGACTACTAGTCGAAGTATATACTACTAGTATTAATAGTACATTACTATTAATACTAGTACGCAGTACTATTAATAACTGCATAACTTCAATGTCGTACTGTATCGGTATTGTTATTGACAGTGACTGATCGAATTTGTAAGGGCGACTAACGTTACTGTAACTACAAGTACAAGATACGATATCATTCTCAACACATGAATAGAGGTAGTCTTTTGAAGTAGTGTACATCAGTCGGCGCCACAAACTAGTTTATCCCATATTAGACTATGTTAATGGGTTTTGGCTTTGATCCACGGCCGTTGCAACCCCGCAGCTTGGCGCCAGTACACAAGGCCCACGGCACTGAGCACACACCACGACAGCGCGCTCCACCACACGACAAACCCGAGCACACTTTGGTACCACAATGGTTCCGCCAGTGGAAATTCCCTCAATCCGTGGAGGAGCGCTTCAAACTCTGGCCAGCCCAGCACTTGACTGTGCTCAAACGCAAACAACGGCGTGGTCGGCAGCAGGTCCGTGACTTGAGCGGCACAGAGCAAGGACGGTGGGATGGGGTTCCCTACCTGGGCCAAGATATCCATCCAGTACAAACAGTGCCCGGCCTTGCGCTGGAACAGCAGCGCCGCCGATAGCCACAGCCCCACGGGGGCCAAATACTGCACGCAGATCACGGGGAGGTTTCTGAACGGCCCCACGATCGTGTCCGTGATGGCTTGGGTGTCCACCCGACCTTGGAGCAGCAGTTGCGCGGTCACTTTATGCTTGGGCTCGAGCAAAAAGTATTGCAAGTGGCTACGGTAACACGCGAGGCGGACGAGGGCAGCGGCAACGAGGACATGCACACGGAGGTTGCGAAAGGTCGACTCGGACAGCCACGACAGCCGCCGATCGCCGCAGTCCCGCGGCGCGATCCACGAAAACGACGAAGAGTCCGACGTCGGGCAGATGACGGCGTCATCGCCGAGCAGTAGCGAGCTGGCCACCGGACGCAGCCATGCCCACGTGAGAACGACCGGCAGCAGCATGTTGAGGTGCAGCACGATCTTCCAAGACGGAGAAATGGCCTTGGAAGCAATGAAATCCGAGTACATTTTCGCAAACCGAAGCGCGGGCAAGAGTGTCGCCGACGACACAAGGCCCGCCAGCACCGCGAGGAGGCACATGAGCCAGTGGGTCTTCCAAGCGGACGACGTGCTCGGCATGCCCATGGCGCTGAGAAGGACCTGCCACCGACCGTCCATGGAAGCGGCGGCGCCTTCGACGTCAAAGTCGAGCAGTTGAAGGGAGGGAGGCGCGTACAGACTGAACAGCGCGACGATCGTGCCAAGCACGGCCACGCCAAACCCAAGCTGCTTTTCGTACGAGGACGACATGCCGTACTGGATGAAGAATGGGAACCCCAGCGACAACACCAGCGACACGAGCAAGAGGTAGTAGCTCGGGTCGGGCGTTGAGGCCGGCAACACCTGCATGTACGCAAACACGACGACGGACGACACTGTGGCCGTCACGAGCGTGTCGTACAAGTCAAAGAACAAACACTTGGTCATCGCGTGCGTGGTGATGGGCGACATGGTCAGCTGCATGGCCTGCAGCCGCTCACCCACAGTCTTTTGGGGTTTCTGGTGCTTGGCCTTGGCTACCTCGGGCGTGTTGAGCGAGTCGAGGACCGCTGCCGTGGGCGGCATATAGAACGCCACGCCGTCCAGAAGCAGCGACGGAAGACCGAGGATACGACGGAGGCGGACGAGGATGAACACCAGGATCAGCGCCACCAAGTACGTCGGTGGAAGGACAGACATCGCGACGCAGTGGTGTGGATGGACGAGAAAGATCAGCTGGGCGCAGGTTGAATGTAGCTGGCCGGATAATCTGGGCAAGATCTCACCATTGGTACGGATACATCTGAATGACTCACCGACTTCCACTGGTTGTGTCATTACTGTAATAGAGACTTTTAGCAAGTGCGAAATCTTGACTTTCCAGACTAAAACTTCGATTCGAACTTCGAAGCTTGCAGACTTTGAAGTCTGGCAAATTTGACTGACACTGTGAAAAGCACAATACTGAAAAGCACAATAGGAGTATTATTTTTCGTAAAACACGCCGCTGAGCTAGTGTGCTGGCAGAATTAGGAATGGCTTCGTGCATGAAATATCACTTTAGAATACCTTAAAACAAACGAAATGTGTACCCAAGAATGCGCCCCGCGAAGAGCCATGAACGCCCTGGAACATATATTAGTTAGGTCGAAGTGAATCCCGGAGTTTGGCGCATCGCCAGTGGGTTGCTATCGCTAACCTCCGACAATGCGCCATACCCCTCACGAAAATCAGAAGCAAGCCTACCTCAGCTACGCTGCCAAATGTCTCGCACCCCCACGAAGATGCTGAGAACGTTCAAGGTGGACGAAATCCTGACGATTCATCCGTGTACACGATGGGTGAACCGTGGGGCGATGCAACAAGTGGCTGCATGAGTTGCACGTACGAGTCGAGGGCCAAAGTGTTCTTCTTCGACAAGTGGTAAGTTGACGATCCCTTGCGCGCGCTTCGCTTGTAGCCCTGACGGCTGAGAAAGCGTTAAATTGCACGTAGCATCGCTTTGTACGCGCTTGTATTGTCGGTGTCGAACACAGTCACGTCCACTGATGTGGTCCTGGTGCCGGTGGCACGTCGGTCGCGAACGAATGCTTGTACCATGGCTACCGATGCTTTGAACGCGGGGTATTGGTCACATGCGATGTCGTGTTGGACGGCGGGGCTGCCTCAGTGACTGAAGTAGATTGTAGGTATTCACACCAGACTTCTTTGACAACGCCAAGGCCACGACCAAGCGACTCTGCCACCTTGTTCGCTGCGCCTTTGGTACCTTCGCCCCGAAACCATGAATGTAGCCGTAGGATGTCCAGACGTTCTTCTCTTGTCAATGTGCGAAGGCGAGTACAGTATAGCTCAAAGGGTATCATTCTTATGGCGTTCACATTATACAGGTCAAAACCATAGAGGTTTTCTAATCAACCATACAAAGTTTCATATTCATTCGATATATTTTGGTTGAGATATTGGGAAAGTTCGATGGCTGCTGTCGCAAACTGTAAGAAAATTCCGTTAACCGTTGCAAATATATTTGGGCATATCGTGCAGACAGAAGATAAATTCAACCCCCGAAGTAATCCTACACCCACAGTTTTCGGTAAAATATTAATAAAATAAAAATTGTTAATTATTGACCTCTTTTTTCATCTGATTAAACTATGCAAGATTATCTTGTCCTCGATTTTTATATTGATTTAACTATGTGACATTTTTCGGCTTCGAACAGACATTAGCAGAATAAAGTCGGACAGGATATACAGAAAGCAAGTGATCGTCAGACCACGCGTCCGACTTTCTTGTTCATTGGGATGTATATCCTATACAAACGCAGAGACAAATTGTGTTGTGAGATATTAACGCAAGAAAGTCGGACAAATGGTCCTGTATCAAATGATTGGTACAAATTGTTTCGACCATGGCAGATAGGACACATCATGTACCGTCACCCGCCATGCGGCAGCAATCGACAACAGTTCAGGACCTCCGAGACAATCGACTCGCCGACAGCTCCAAGAAGGGCTACCGCAGCGGAATGAAGCAAATCGTCAAGTGGCTTCAAACGTCCGGCCGCTCGGCCAGGCTAAATGCAGATGGCTCCCTCAATCTCACCGTTTTCAGCTACATGGACTTTACTGAGTTCGTGCTGTACAAGTACAAGGATGCTGGTGTATCCCTCTCAACGCTTTCTGGCTACAGGTCAGCACTGAAAGACTACTACAACACGCAAGGCGTTCCTCTGCCAATCGGGTTTACCAACGATGCTACTGTCATCTATCAAGGTATGGAATGTCTCTCGTGTTGTACACTGATTGCTATTGCTAGGAATCCGTCGGCTATGTGCGAGCGAGACCCAAGCGGGTGCTATCAAGCCAGGCACAAAGCAGCCTCTTCGGCACCATCAATACATTGAGCTGTGCATGGCGAGCCTCGTCAAGTTGGATGGTGGTTTCACGCACCTTTTTCTCATACTGTCTTGGAACTTGATGTGCCGGTCGAGGTCGACGGCAACGGTTCGGATCGACCACTTTTCCGACGAAGGGGATGCGCTTGGAGTCACGTTCTTCAAGTCCAAGACGGACCAAGGTGGCACAAAACGTCGTGACCCAAAGCACGTTTATGCCAACCCTCAGCAGCCGGGGACATGCTGCATCCTCGCGTTGGCAATCTACCTTGCGTGCAACCCTGAGCACGACTCGGGCGATCTGTTTCCCGGCTGTGCTCAACGTGACCGTTTTGGACGGAGCTTGTCCCAACTTGTGGGTTATGCACTCCCCGAATTAGCAAGCGCTGTCGGCACCCACTCGCTTCGCAAGGGCGCCGCAACATTTGCAATTGGTGGTAGTACATCAGGTCCCTCGATCGTCAACGTGTGTATTCGGTGCGGGTGGTCCATTGGCAGCGTCGTCGAACGCTACGTTCACTATGATGGCGCCGGTGACCAGTACGTTGGCCGTGTCGTTGCTGGTCTACCCATCGACAGCGGCGACTTTGCTGCTTTGCCGCCACATTTTGTCTCTAGCAGCGACGGAGTTGTTGACGCTGCAGGGGCGCTTGTGTTCCCGCGTCTCTGGTCCCATGAGTCCCTCCGTGGCGTATTGGTATTGTGTCTAGCTTCGTTGGTGCATCACAAGGTTTTTCTGGAGGATACGCTCCCGGCCAAGCATCCTCTGCTCTCCTCCGTTCTGTTTGGTGATGTCGGAATGACCACACTGCTGAGAGCCAACGTGACACTACTATCGTCCTCCATGCAGCCCACAGGGATCCCGCCCCATGTCAGTCTGCACACGCAACTCGAGAAGAACTTGGCTGCCGTACGGGCGCTCCCGGGTGAAATACGTGACGGCATCGAGAGCCTTCTTGATGAGAAAGGCGTCGCTGCGGGCAACATCACGCATGCACTG